TACTTTCCCACCAGCGCTGAATAAGGGTTCCTTCTCCTATCTCTCTCATCTTGCCTAGCATTTGTTGTTTGCTTTCTTGATGATAACCATTCCTACTGTGGTGAGATAGAACCTCCTTGTAATTTTGATTGGCCTTTTCCTGATAGCTAAAATGATAAACATTTTCCCATACATTTCCTGGGTGTTTGTCTACTCTTATCTCTTAAAGTTTTAGGACTTCAGATGGAGGCTCTATAAGAAAAGAAATGCCTCCAAAGAGCTTATTGTCCATTCAAAACCTTTTTTCTTTGGGCTAAGCATCAAATCCAGAGAATGAAAAATAGAGGATTTTTTTCAAATGTCTCTGCTTTCTCTGGATCATTTCTTTTGTTAGAGTTCAGTGTTGTCTTTGTAATTTTACTACCTATCTATTGATTGGCCAGACCCTGGAGACAATAGGGCTACATTCTAAAATTTAAATGTGAAACAGATCTGCAATCCAGCTGCATTGTGAGGTGCTGGGTATGCAGATAGACAGGTATGCAGAGCTCCCCATTCTGTTTTCAGCACCTTTATATCTGCAACCCACTACCTACTTGGTGGGTAACAAGCTTTGAATATCATTTAGAAAACAGAGTAAAAGCTTTGCTAGCAATGGTTTCAGTAGCATATATGTGTCTGACTTCCTGTTCTTCCTTTGTTCCCTGGTGATTAAGCTTGCTGTGTAAGAGAGGAATTAGTAATGAAGGCGCTTCTGAATCCCAGTTCGTCCGTTTGATTAGCATCTTTTCTTCTAACATATGGTGAAACAACAAGCAATGATTGTGGTTTCAGATCTAAAGAATTATCCTGTTTGTTCATTCCTGGAACCTGAAGTAAGCATCTGGTAGTTAGAGCTTCCAGAAATAACAGAAAGAAATGAAAGAAGACAAAAAGCACCTTAGCGCCCATGGGTGAAAAAATGTGTAGCCAAGATTAAGCCACAGTTTAAGTTAGTCCATCCTATTAAAGGGAGGAGAACCTGGGGAGGTGGCTCCATGGAACTCAGAGGACCTGAGTTCCAATTCCCAGCCTGCACATAAAGCTGAGTAAGGCAGCATGCATCTGTAATCCAAGCACACCTGCACTGAGATGGGAGATGGAGACAGGAGAAACCCCAGAAGCTTAGGGGCCAGTTGGCTGGCTGTGCATCGCCACACAATAAGGAGACCCTGCCTTAAACGAGTTAGAAGATGAGGGCTGGTACCTGCGGCTGTTCTCTGACCTCCACGTGTGTGCCACACACATGTGCTATGACACATAAGCACCCTCACTCACACACACACAAGCATGCACATACATACACACTGCACACAAATACAAAAGATAGCTAGACCTCTACTTCCTTTTATGTAGGAAATAGAAACCATGCCCTAGGCTGAAGGGTCTCTCCCTTTTGCCTAATCTTACAACTAGAAATAAACTATATCTAGTATTCCTTATCAGAAAAAGAATGTGCTTTGAATATTTCCTTATCTCTATCACATGTGAGCTCAGAAGCATCCCAGTTCCCACCCACTATTAGATTCATGCATTTCATTACTTAAAATTATATTTTCTACATTAAACGTCTGTCCCATTTTTTTTCATATTTTATTTTAAGATTATTCTGGCTCACACTTTTCATTTCCAGACAACACTGGGCAAGGAATTTTAAATAAAGATATGCTGTTCGTTTTGTGGTGGCATTCATTTGAAATGAAGTATTGAAAGGGGTTCTTTTTTTTTTTTTATGAGGGTAGTATAATAATTAGTCTGCTGGATTTGTCATGAGAAAATACCCCAACAGGGTACCCTAAACACAAGAAATTTTTTTCTTTGTAGTTCTGGAGTCCAATACCAAGGTGTCAGCAATTCTGGCTCTTCTGGAAGCTTCTCTGGCTCATAGACAGCTGGCTGCTTCCTGAGGGTGTCCTCACATGGCCTTCTCTCTGTGCCTGCAGATTCTTTGCGGTCTCTTCATCCTCCTGTAGGGACACCAGTTATACTGGGTTACCCCGTGATGACTTGATTTAACATGCATCACCTCCTCTTTAAATTTCTCTTAAGAGAGTCACCCTGTGGGTTAGGGCTTCGACTCGGGGGTTTGGAGTAAGCACAGCTCACAACAGGTAGCAATGCAACTTGTCCAAGGTTTTTAATATCTTCCCTTTGGAAAGAAAAAGAAAAATCTCAAGAAGGAACATGATAGAATTCACATTTACATGTGAAAGTTGTTTGGAATACAAATTTGTATGCATATGTGAATCATTTGAATAAGGATATCATTTACAAGTCAATGGGTAAATGAACATAAAGTCATCATTAGCCGCTGTTTTGCACTACCCCATAGAACACACTAAGACTTAACAAACGCAGAGACAAGCAGGTAATCCCAGCTTCCTGGGAGTATCACTTAATGTTCAATGACAGCCTTTACAACATCTTATTTCTACTGCATTTGACTAGGGTTTGCCAACTGTCACAAATCAAAATACAGAATGCATATTTAAATTATAGTTGAATAAAGGTGATTGGTTTATTGATTTATAAATAGTAGGGACACACTTTAAGAAAGAAAGAAAGAAAAAGCTCCTCCATGGAGTATATATACCCTAAAAAAAGTATTTGCTATTTATCTAGAATTCCAATTTAACTGTGGGTTCTGTGGGGTTTGTTGTTTGGTTGGTTGTTTTTCTGGCAAATTTACATTAGATTAAAGATTGAATCTTTTGGGGGTGTGAGATATATGTGGAGAAGGGTTCATCAGTTAAGAATGCTTGATGCGCCGGGCGTTGGTGGCGCACGCCTTTAATCCCAGCACTCGGGAGGCAGAGCCAGGCGGATCTCTGTGAGTTCGAGGCCAGCCTGGGCTACCAAGTG